AAATTATTTTAAAAATGCAAGAAGTGACAACTGTCAGAATAGGAGGGAACTGTCATTTGAATAGGGCACCTGGAAAGTCTTCAGGGTCAGCTGGCAAGCTTCTATTTCTTAACCTAGATGGTAGGTTTAATAATTAATTAAGCAATATTTAAAAGCAAAAACAAAGCTAGTACATTAGATGCAAGAATGAGACAGTGGCCCAATTCCAGCTTGAATTCAAGTGTAGATCAGACTCAATACAACTCTGCCAAAGTCTTCAACTGAGCCCAGCACAAGCCAAAAAAGCAGTTAATACCAGACTGAATGGTAACTTGGGTCAATAGCAAGTGCTTAGAAAAGCAATTCAACGAAGAAGACAAAGAGAAACAAACAGAGTAAACTGTAGAGAATAACTTGAATTTGCAAAAATCTGTATGCTGCTGTAGATGACCATCTGTTAAAAACAGACCTCATTTCTGTCCTGCTCATCAGTCATATTTCTATTCAGTGCCAGAATTTTTCCATTATAATTTGTTTACCTTCTCAGAGAATTTTCTGAATTCTACCAGAGACTGCTCATAAAGGCAAGAGTACGCTTACCAACCACATCGCATTTTCAAAAATAAGGCTGTAGGAAAAAAAGATGGCAGCCAAACAGGCAGTGGGACTTGAAAAAGGCTACGAGAGGCTGGCTCATCTAGTCATGACAGAGACAGGGCCTTCTTTAACCCTCCCAAAAAATGGGGACTGACAGCAACCCCCTGTGGGTTTCTGAGACCCTAACAGTCGGGCTCCTCGGAGCGGCTGGTGGTTTCCAACTGCTGACCTTGTGGATAGCAGCCCAATTCGTAACCACTATGCCAACTGGGCTCCTTTTCCAAGACTTAGTGTAAGAAAAAAAAAAGTCATGCTTTTGTACACACCCTCTCATTTATCAACAATCTTGTTATCCGACATTTCACTTTTACAACAAAACTTAAATATCTACTATACAACTATTTCGCACATTAACTACATATATCAGGCACTAACAAATGCTGAGGTGCTAGATGAGAGTAATAGTGGCGGTGAGGATTATTAAGTTCATGTGCCCACTTGGCTGAGCCATGATTCTCAGTGGTTTGGCAGTTATGTAATGAGGGAATTGGGCAGTTACATAATGAGTAGTTATCTTTTTTTGTGTGTGTGATCTCTTTGAATAACTACCTAGTCTCTGGAACTTAATCATGTTGATAAGGGAGGAAAGAGTGCAGTGACTGATTAAATATTAAAATAATATTTTAGATATGCTGAGTTTTGCAAACTACATTACTAAATTTAACTTCCCATTTCCTCTTACTTTTTTTTTCTCCCTCCCTCTCCTTTTACTTTTTTAATGTAATTTTTCCCCCTGGTGGCTACCAAATATTTTTTAATTATAGTTGTGCCTTGCCTTATATTTCTACAGTATAATGCTATCTAGATTATTAGTAAATATCAAGATGAACAAAGTAGTTAAAGTAGAAAATTTCAGAATTTCTTTCTACTGCTTCCCGTATCTGTTTAAAAAAAAAAAGTCTGTAGCTGCATTAATTCATGAATGCAACAGTAAATTATAGGCCAAAAGAGCTGAGTTCTACTCCTGGTTCTGGTACTGACTAGCAGTTACTTTAGGGAAATCAAGTCTCCTTTCTGAGCTTTATCTTCCAGTCCCAACATAGGAAGGATGCTAATCTTCAATGCTTTCAATAATATATATGTATTTTTTTCTTTCTGTTACAAATTGGTTTTGACAAAGATTAATACTTACTCTGAGTCTAACACATCCTCTGCGTGAGCCTCTCATCATTTTGTCTTTGGACTGAAAAAGAAAAAAAAATTTCATGAATACGAGGTTAACAGGCTGATAGTTTTTAAGAATCATCTGGGGTTAAAAGACCAGATTCTCAATAATATGCACCCCTCTTTCCACTCACCATCACTCCAAATAAACCTCTTTGGATAGGGGAATTAATAGGTTTCAAAACGGTAGGCTGCATATTCTATATAAGTGTAAAATTAATGTCCATCTTTGTAGGAGCCCTGGTTGTATTGAGTGTTACAAGTAGGGCTGCTAACCACCAGGTCAGCAGTGTGAGCCCATAAGACCTTCTACACCCGTAAAGATTACAGCCTTGGAAATTCAAAGGGGCAGTGCCACTCTGTCCCAAAGCGTTGCCTGAGTCAGAATTAAGTCAGTGTCATTGAGTTTAGCTTTAATATGTGGAATTTAAATTGTGGAATCTGTCAAAGTACAAAATCCATTCTTCCTTTATGCCTCTTAACTCCAGTCCAAAGTTTTCCGTTTTGGCTGTATAACCAAGAACGCTCCTTAGAGGCAAGGATGGTGAAGTACTTTGGACATGTCAGGAGAGACCAGTCCCTGGAGAAGGACATCGTGCTTGGTAGAGAGACAGTGACAAAGAGAAAGGGCCTGGACAAGATGGATTACACATTGGCTGCAACCGTGGGCTTGACCACAGAACAATCGTGAGGAGCGCAGGCCAAGGTCGTGTGTCGGTCTGTTGTAGAGGGCTGCTGTGAGTCAGCTGACCAACGGCACCCAACAACAGCATAGCTCACATTTTACAGAGTTTTTAAATCATCAGGAAGGTTAAGAATGACTCCCGATGACTCTGACAGATACTTGGAGAAACAACGGAGACGCTTTCTTTACAATTCCCCAAATAGGTCACATTTTTTCTTTTTTTTTTTTGTTCTCTCTAATTTCCCATTCTAGCTCTAGAATGTTATTGCCCCTGATGTTCTGCCTTTCTGTCACTCATCAGGTGCCTCCTATGGGAGAAAAAAGCAAAACAAGGTATCATTGGATCATGATTTAAAGAAAAACTATGCCACTTTAAACTACTGGTATCTAACATTTAAGTTCTTGAGCCAAAGAATGAAGTACTGCTCTTCATTTTGTTCTACTTATAAAAAAACAAAAAGAAAAACTCATATATTTTAGGACAAAATTCTCAGTTCTGAACAGAACCAAAAAAGTTTATAAATAAAATAGTTAGAGAAAATACACCTAAATAAAAAAGGAAAAAAATCCTTTAGCATTTACTAGTTCTTTGTTCATAAGGCTTTCTTTCACTGGTGATATTTTTCCCCTAGAAGTAGATCACCATATCTTCCTTCCTTCTTTGTCTCCAGTCCCTTCTCCACACACTAGTAGCCAGACAAGGGTCTTTTCAAAATATAATTCTGATCAGTTCACTTCCTTGATTAAAAAGCAAAAGAAAACTTTTTTTCCCTGTTCAAGTTTTTTTTTAGATCCTTTATTTTCCTTTATTTATTTTTTTTTCTTTTTCTTTTTTTTTAAACATTTTATTAGGGGCTCATACAACTGTTATCGCAATCCATACACACATCAATTGTGTAGAGCGCATTTGTACATTGTTTCTCAAAACATTTTCTCTCCACTTAAACCCCCCGACATTAGGTCCTCATTTTTCTCCCCTCCCCGCTCCCCCCTCCCTCATGAGCCCTTGATAGTTTATAAATTGGTGTTTTGTCATATCTTGCCCTGTCCGACGTCTCCCTTCAATATGGCTCTTTGGATAGAATGCACATTTCCCAATTTACCCTCCACAGAGACTCTGGCTCATTACCCATAAAGTGCCTATGTTTCTACCACGCTGACTTTTCCATTCCCCTAACAAGTTAAATTTGATCTTTCCCATTGCCTGAAGGAGCCCTGGTGGTGCTGTGGGCTCTGACACGAGTTGGGCCACAGACTGTGCTGTTAGTAGTTCAAACTTACTAGCTGTTCTACTCCAGAAACCCAAGGGGGGCACCTCTGTCCTGACCTATCAGGTGGTTTTGAGTCAGAATTGACTTGACAGCAGTGAGTTATTTTGTGTGAGAAATATCTTTATTCATCCACCCTTCATTCATTTACTGGTTAATTCCTACTCATTCTTCAGTTGCCTAAAATGGGAAGCTTTATCTGAATGCTTTGGATTTGGTAATCTACCACCTCCATCACCTGCACAATGCTTCTCTTTATAGTGCTGTGGGGAAAATACAAGTTCCCTGGACTTCTCAACGTTCCCCTTAAAAGCCCTAGTGTTCCAAAAACATTTTTACATACCATTGGATTAGATCTGTTATTTTCCTAATTAAGCTAATTGCTCTGTTCTGAAAGGGGATTAAAAACTTCTTTTCCTAGAAAATGCCAAATAGTTACAGCCTGGAGGAAGGTCCTTGGGCTAAATCCCCATGGTGCAGGAAAATGAGAGAGATATTTTCCTAAGCAATTATATGTAAAAGAGATGAAACTCCAAAATTTGCAAACATCTCTAGGTTGTGAAAAGCTTAAGATACTGAGGCTATCTAGCTCCTAGAAAGACTTTATTTACATATAAAAAAGTTGGAGTTAGAGTCAGGCTTATATCTTTCCCAAAGCCACCCTTTCCCCATCATTAACAGGGAGAAAAAAAGTTCCCTTTTTATTTTTTATCAAAAGATCATTTTATTGGAGGTTCTTACAGCTCTTATAACAACCCATACATCAATTGTATCAAGCATATTTGTACATATGTTGCCATCATTATTTTTTAAACATTTACTTTCTATTAAGCCCTTGGTATCAGTTCCTCTTTTTTCCCTCCCTCCCCCATGCCCTCACCTATTAAGAATCTAAAAGAGCCCTGGTTGTGTAGTGGTTACACATTGGGCTGCCAACTGCAAAATCAACAGTTCCAAACCACCAGCAGCTTATTGGGAGAAAGACGGGGCTTTCTACTTCCATAAAGAACTGTAGTCTCGGAAACGCAAAGGGGCAGTCCCACCCTGCCCAATAGGGTCAGTAAGTCGGCATCCACCAGATGGCAGTGAGTTTGGATTTTTAGAGTCCGGCTAATACCAATGAGTACAAGGAAGAAAATGTTCTAAAATTGATTGTAGAAATGATTGTACAACTCCTTGATATGATTGAACTATATAAAACTGTTACAAATATAATCTTTCATATTCCTGGTTAAGGAATCGGTGTAAATATATGTATATAGGAGGACCACAAAAAATAGTAACCATGAGCAGTGTCAAACAAACAACAAAGTCTGGCTAATCATACTCAGTTGGCCTGGTTTTTATTGCATCACCCTAAGAATAAGGAATGGGGGAAGGGGTGTGGAGTCTGGCACACTTATTTAAAATTCTGTATCTGATTGAATTATTTAATCATATGATATGTGGATTACCATATATACCCCAATATAAGCCGACCCGATTATCAGCTAAGGCACGAATTTTACCACAAAAACTGCATTAAAAATGTGCTGAAACAGTTCACAATTGCAAGGAGTTAGAAACAACCCAAATTTCCATCAACTGACAAGTGGATTAGAAAACTGGTACATACATACAATGGAGTACTACATACATACAATGGAGTACTACATACATACAATGGAGTACTATGCATCACTAAAAAGCAATGATGAACACATGAAGCACATTGCCGCATGGGAAGAACTGGAGGAAATCATGCTAAGTGAAGTAAGCCAAGCACAAAGGGCAAGTACAACATGAGTCTGCTGAGGTAAGCTTAAAATAAAATGCAAATGAGCATAGGGAAAAGCTACTGTATACAAACATTCCTGGGGTGAGGACCAGGTAGCATGGCAGGGGCCAGACCAAATCCAGGGACACGTATGGTAGCCAACTAAAAAGGAGGGGGGAAAAGGGAAAAAAAGAAATGGGTAGCGGGGGAACAGGACACTAACCCACCCAAGGGGAGGATATTATTTATATCTCCACAGGGAAAGAGGGACCAGACTTCAACCCAGCGCTCCAAGATGTGAATACAACATGCCGGCATGAAGTAGGGAATCAGTGGAGATGTCTGATGGGCTGGGCTCAATCCCAACTACTTGGACACCTGCCCCTCCCCCCAGAAGAATTTATTTCACTGAAGCTGCAGCTCAGGGAGAGGGACATGTCTGATGAGAGCACATGGGAGCAAATTAT